GCTTTCATTGGCATGTCATTATCCATTATTTAAAAGCTCTTTTGACTAGGCTGGGCACAGTGGCTCACACCTGTAATCTTAGCACTCTGGGAGGGCGAGACAGGAGGATCTCTTTAGCTCAGGAGTTTGAGACCAGCTTGAGCAAGAGTGCAAGACCTCATCTTGCACTATTTTCTACTAAAAATAGAAAAAACTAGCCAGGAATGGTGACCCACACCTGTAGTCCCAGCTACTTAGAAGACTAAGGCAAGAGGATTGCTCAAGCCCAAGAGTTTGAAGTTGCTGTGAGCTATGATGCCACAGCACTCTACCCAGGGTGACAGAATAAAACTCAGGGACTAAAAAAAGGAATTTTATACAGTTACATAAAGTGCTGTTTTCAAAGATTACATAACAATGCAGACAAAAATGCTTATGGTAAAAGAAAAATGACTTCTCTTGTATTGTATGCCAGGATACTTTGGAATGTTTGGTTTTATAATGTTGCCACATCTTTATAGATAAGGACTTTTCCATACTTTGTATTGCATTATTAGGATACCATTTTCAAAGTGGGATCACTTGGTACATCCTGGGAACATGTTGTGGGACTTGAGGAATACTGCTAACTTGCTTTCTACAAGGGTAGTATCACTCTGCAATGCTACACAGTGTATGAAAACTCCATTCATCCCCCACCTCCACCAGCAGTAGGGAATATACATTTTAAACCCTTTCCTCATATGCAAGAATGTGCCTTACTGGTATTTTATTTTGCTATTATTCTTCTCTGATGGGATAATATTCTTTTGCATTTGGGGAATTCAAGATCAGATTTAGCCACATTCCCACAAGTAATTCATTTCTCCTGTCTGGAAGCCAGAGGAAGCCTCCACTAGATCAGGAGTCCATTGAGACTGTGAAAAACATACTTAGATTTGAATGTGGCATGTTTCTTACAAACATGAGCACTATAGTGGCCGAGGATTAACAACTGGCATTCTAAGGGACTCAGTAAATATTTCACTCTTTATTTGCAGCAATACTTACAAATAAAGTAATTAAAATGAATAAAAGCAAAAGGAAATAAACTACCTAATACCTGTCTATAAGTCAGGGACTGACTTTTCA